CGAGGCAGAGCTATATACGATAACAGCGCCACCCATTTAACGACGAGTTGAAAGTTGAAAAATTGAAGTTGCTCTGCAGGCCTACTGCTAGAGCAAATGAGTGTTCCCAGAGTACCGAAACTGCCAGGTTCGAAAAGCCAAGATGGGGGCTCATTTATTTTTTACTCTGGTCATTTTGAGCTTTTATACAACGTGGTTTTGCATAAAAAAACAACGAAAAAATCTTTTTTGTTGAAAGTTTTACTGGAGAGCAGTTCAAAAAAAAAAGAAGCGTGATGTTTGCAAAACATTTTGCCTACAGGGTGTTACGGTACAATTAATATTTTTTTTATACAGTCATGTTTCACCGGTGACGTCAAGTAGCGCGCCCCAACGTCGGCGCATCTTAACATCGGCGATTGATTGAGGCTCGTCCGCTTGGAAGACGGGGGTTGGCGTCCCTGAAACCCCTTCCGCCGTATTGGTTTCGGCGCCAAAATGGCCAATTAGAGCCATAATAAAACAGTCACAGCGGTCGCTATCGAATGCAGTATTCCCGAACCAATAAAATCAGTCGTGCAGTTCTTCGAGTGGCCGCTGCGGAAGAAATGGCGGCGCTGCGATCGCCATTAGTTCGGTTCTTGAGTAGGCATCGGTGCCACGTTTTCAGAGCAATCTGTATGGCAGTTTCCCAACTGAGTTGTTCTAGTAACGTTGATAGGACTTGATCTGAAGTATTAGGTAGGCCTAATACTTCAGATCAAGATTCATACTCGAAGATACACAAGAAAAGCATAGCCAGAGATTTACAGTTTTAGTGACACTCTCATCTTTGTTTAGGGCTTGATAGATATTTGTTTATTTATTTATTTACAATACCCTCAAGGCCGTGAGGCGTTAGAGAGGGGAGTGGGTAATACAATATTGTTGAATCACTTCGCGAAATGCGGTGGAATCCCTGATGGCTGCGATGTCACCGGGAAGGCCATTCCAGTCCATAATTGCGTCGGGGAGAAGGGCGCTTTGATGAGCTGTGGAAAAACATCGTGGCCGGGCTATTTTTTTAGGATGATCTAGTCTAGAGGATGAATAGGTTGGCGGAGTGAGAAGAGTTTGATGTTGTAGAGGGGAATAATAGACTTTATGCAATAGGCACAGACGAAACATTTTCCGTCGGGTAGCAAGTAAGGGAAGAGAAAGGTCAGATTTCATTCGAGTAACACTAGAAAAACGTGAGCAGTCAGATGCAATGAACCGAGCAGCACGGTTTTGGAGAGCCTCAATACTGTCTGTTAGTGAAGAAAGGTGAGGGTGCCAAATGGAGGATGCATACTCTAATTTTGATCGTACTAAGGAAATGTAAAGGGGTCGCTTTAGGTTACTTGGGACAGATCTAAGAGTCTACGGAGGTAACCTAGGCTTCGGTTAGCAGCACACACCACTGAATTGATATGGCTGTCCCAAGAGAGGTTTTTTGTTAGAACACCACCAATATGCTTGTACGTGTCAGTTTGTTGTAGAGGAACATCATTAATAGTAAGAGTAAAGGAAGTTTGGAAGGTGGAACGAGAGAAGCGCATGTGTTTACATTTGTTAACGTTAAGGGAGATTTGCGAATTACTACACCAGTTATTAATAGAGTTAAGGTCATCTTGTAGCGCTGCAGAATCAGAGGGAGATGCTATTTTACGATATACGACACAGTCATCTGCAAACAAACACATTGATTAGGACACCTGGAGTGGAAGGTCGTTGATGTAAATAAGGAAGAGTGGGGTACCAAGGACTGTTCCTTGGGGCACACCGAATGTTACAGGGGCCAAGGCAGATGAAGAGCCGTTAGCATAAACAAACTGGTTTTGTTGCGAGAGGAAAGATTTAATCCATGATAGCACGTTGGTGTCAAGGTTTAACGATGAAAGTTTTAGTAGCAGTTGGTTATGTGGTACTTTGTCAAAAGCCTTAGCAAAATCAAGAAATACAGCATCGGTTCCTAAACCGGAGTCGAGGTTAGAAAAAAGGTCATGGGTTAAGCAAAGAAGCTGTGTTTCACAAGAGAAATTTCTACGGAAGCCGTGCTGTGCCTTGTTAAAAAAGTAAATGGAATCGAGGTGAATGGATAGATTCTTATGGATTATGTGCTCCAGTATTTTTGAAGATACAGAAGTAAGAGAGATAGGCCTATAGTTTAAGGGAGCTGATTTATTACCGCTCTCGTGGACCGGAATGACCTTTCCGATCCTCCAATCGTCAGGAACTGCCGCTGCATTCAAGGACTGCTGGAAAATTTTGGTTGAAAAAAGACTCACTGGTCAGGAGAAAATTCTTTGAAGTGAACAAAAATTGGTGCGCGTTACTAATTTTACTAATTCATCATAGTAGATATGAAACAATTTACAGCACTCACAATATGGCTATTGCATTACGACGATCACAAATTTGCTACACAATTTCGCTATCACAATATTAAATCAGGTAACGCAAGTTAATTCCAAATTCCAACCCACAAATCTCTTATGAATCATTTGCAAAACTGAACCCCCCCCCCCCTCCTAAAATGCCGCACGGCCCGTGCAGGCTACCTTGTAAAATATATGATGGCTCAAACATTTTCGGTTTTCAATATAATGCCGATAACGGCTTCACTAAATAAATCACTATGTCCGGAAAATAACGAAGTGGAAGTTATTTTACAGGGTTACCGCAAAGTGGCTGTGAATAGCGTTTTTGCGTTTTTACGCGCCTCAATCAAAGGGGTGCAAGTAGCATCAGCTATACTAGCTTAAAGCCTCCCACGTATTCTTGACACTTTTAAACTCCGACCGGCCTTCTAGTTCGGCTTCCTCCGGCGTATAAACTTCACAAATTCCCATATGCAGTATGTAATATTCAGCAAAGAGGTTTTGTTTGTTCATTAATTTTGACACATTTCTTTTCACAATATATTTCCCGCGGCAAGTTGTAAGTTGATAACAGCTCATTCTATCTAGTTAGGCGGTACTATTGCTGAAAGTTTTGAGGCAATCAACACTGCCCCTTCCTTTACAATGCGTACACTGCAGTGATTCAACACCACCCGGACCCAAAAATGTATATTTCGCCTTCCTTCGAACCTTTATAAATTAAAAGTGTCTTTTCCCTGGTATGCGCCCATATTGCAAGCAATCACCAAATTTCCTTGCGAAAACGTTGCGGCATCCGCATCATGAGGAACTTCGGCCTCACCCATTTTATGTGCATGTATATGTGAAATAAACAGCAGCATATAAATACCTTCACGAAATGGTGCATCTTGTGGAACTAAACTTAAAAACCTGTCCAGTGATACAGCGTGTCCCCTAATACATGTAAAGAAATGTTGCTTTTTACTGCAAAAATAAAATATACATTGCCAAACGCTGTCCCCGTCCAAATGTAGCGCTACACTTTAAGAAAAAGCGAGCGCCCCCCTATAGTCATCACGCGTTTTGACAGCTGTAACTACCCCACAGGCTTACTTAACTACCCACTGGGCTCGAGCAAGTGAGCGTTACCACCCTGTTGGCAGGTGACAAGCATGGGGTAGTCACGTTTTATAAACTCTTGAATTGAACATTCAAGTGCACGCAGCCGGTCAATAGTAAAAGTCACTTCAAGAATGTCAAAAAGTACTTGAAACTTGTTTTCTTTGTGCGTTGGTTACCATTTATTCAAATTTGAACCGGTCGAAACAGGCCTGTGGCTCAGTTCGCCTAAACTGGCAGAAAACAAACATTGCCAAAGAGTACAGGCAACCTTGGTAGGTACCTACTAAAACCCGAGGCAGATAAAAAGTATCGCGGTTGTCCTTTTTGGTTTCGTCGCGGGTTTTACTTTGTACTGCTAGTAAACAGCTGGCAGCTGGCGTCGTGCTTGAGGAATTTAACCAAATCACTACAAAAGCACAGGAAGCTACGCACAGGCGTGAGTTGACTGGAATGTTCGCCGGACGAGATACTGTTGTCGTCTTTTATTATGCGGTTCAGTAAAGAGCGTGCTCTCATTAGAGGTGTGATCGGTCAGTTCTGTGTGCAGATCAGTTGCAAATGGCCTCCTCGGTTCCGCCGAACTCGCACGCCTGTCACACCCAATTTTTTTTGCTTTCGAGTGTTGTGAAGTATGAAGCATTAAACACCACGACTGAGGCCGGACAGGACGAACGTACACAGATATCTGAGATCATGCCCATGTATTTCAGCATCTCTGTCTTTGGATATATGATTCGACTGCACTGGCTCATTTGGCACATCTCATCGAGCATATTCGATAAAAAATGCTTCAAACAAGTGTGTGTCATCCAAGCTGAAGTACTTTGAAGGGGACTGGGATTTCAGGCCTTTCGGCACGCGTTCCTTTTGCCTATATAAAAGATTCCGAGTAAATTTCCAAAAATAAGGCATTGGCAAGCATACACGTGGTATTTGGTTTACATTTTTTTTTGGACAAGTACTGCTGGAAAAGTTATCAGGTGCAGCGCAGAGAACTATGCTCTCGGCGTTCTATGATGCTTGAGGCCGGTTCAGACACTTGCGTTTGAATGCGTTTGGCAGCGTTGCGTCGAGAACCGAAAGCGAGTCACCGGCACATGAGTACTTCGTATGAAGCGTGGAATCCTATTCAAGGAATCTTCTTGGCATGCAATATAAGCAGCAGGGATGTCATGGTTTCTCGCTGCCGCAATACTGTCAGACGCAGTCAAGCGCAACTTTCTGAACCAGGCTTTAGATAACTTAGCATACGTATTTCACGTTCGGTGCAGGTGAAGGCACGGGCCCGAAAGCGGCAATTCTTGGGAGAAGAGCGTGTTGGTTTTGGTCATGGATGAAGAAAGAATAAAACAATTAAAACAGGGACAACACAACCACATCTTTCAACTAGCAACAGACGACTAAACTTTCAAACAGCGAGCAGCCGACTATACCCAGTAGGAGTAGGGAAAGAAGGGGGAGAGAAGGAAAGGAAAGAAAAGAAACACGAAGTGCAAGTCAGGGTGGTAGGGTTATCTCGGATTTTAAAAATTCAACCTCAGTTTTCGTCAACAGGAGGGAAGGGTTAGACACGTTGTTTTTTGCTGTGGTCATCGCGAATGATTCTATGATTTCCCTGCCGAATCTGCTGTCATGTCCCCCCAGGATTTTTGTGTCATCAAAAAGGGGATGACAACGCAAACATGAACGGGCATGTATGACTATGGGATGATAAGAATCTGGAGAGGCCTTAGAAACTTCATTGTGGTGTTCGCGGAGTCTGTGATTGGTGCATCTGCCGGTCTGTCCTATGTATTGATGGCCGCAGCTCAAGGGGATGGAGTAAACTTTCTTCTCTTTGCATGGAATGAATTTCTTTTCGTGTTTGACGGTGCAGCCAATCGGAATCCGGTTGTTGTTCACTTGTTGACATAGTTGTTTAAGACGCATGCGGCACGAGAAGACGACATTCGTGTCGAACTTTGAAGCAATGGATTTTATCCGGTGGGCTGAATTGTGTACGTAAGGAATGACGGCGAATCGGGCTTTCTTTTTTGTGGATGGTGAGTGGCGATCAGGCCCGCGAATCATCCTTTCCAATACAGATCGGAGAAGGTCGACGGGAAACCCTGCCCTGACGAGCCTCATGTGCTGCAACTTGAAGCTATCTTCTGAAAGATGACAGCAAGACTTCGTGAACGATGAAGAAAACAACGATTTGATGATACCGTGTTTTACCGACTTCGAATGGGCGCTAGAAAACGGTAAGACAGGTTTGGCAGACATTTGTTGAAATGCCCAGCAGAGTCCAGTGGCACTGACATGAAGCCGCAAATCCAGGTACTGAAGACCTTCATTCGATGGTTCTTCTTTCGTGAATGTAAGGCCTGAAGAACAAGCGGAAAAAACCGCTGTAATGCTATCTGGAGAAGTTCGAGCAGGATGAATGATTAGGTAATCGTCTACATATCTGAAAACATGGCAGCCAGGGGTGGAGATGTCCAGTTGTGCTTTTATAGCTCTGTCAACGAATAAAAGGAACAATTCGCTGAGAACAGGGGCGAGACATGAACCGATGCAAACGCCCTTTTTTTGGCGGTAGATCCCTCTTTCATGTTCGACTAAGGTGGACTGGAGATATAGATGAGTCAGGTCCACGAATCCAGAAACGGAGACACCGGAGGAATTCTGAAAATCCACAGCTCCGTGCTCAAAGATGGCGTCGGAGATTGAGGCAAGCAAAGTGGTAGGATCTAGATTGAAATACATGCCTTCTATGTCAAGTGAAAAAATAGAGTGGGGCAAGGAGAAGGAATGTTGGGAACTGATGACAGAGATGAGTTCTATTGAGTTAGACACTCTAAAGGGTTGAGGGAGGTGAATGCAGGACAGATGCTTTTGTAGAAAGAGCCCGAGCTGCTTCTGCCAACAACCCTTCTCTGACACTATACTTCGGAGAGGAACTCCAGTCTTATGTGTTTTTGCAGTGAAGAAAACTGAAAGGTACTGCTTCGCTGGACTACTAATGGCGGTTTTTAAGGACGACAGGTTCAAAGACGAGCAGAGTTGTTTGGCTCTTGACCTGAGGGTCCCAGACGGGCGGGATTTCAGTTTGAGAAAATTCTTTGAAAGGGCGGCGTTCACCTTATCTCCAAAATCTCCTTCCTCTAACACAACAAACACACCCGTCTTATCGGATTCTAACAGCTTTAGGTGTTCTTGACGAAGCTCTTCAACAGCGGCGAGTAGAGGGATCTTGCCTGGCTTGGGGGGTTGGTGGAAGCACACGGCGCGGATGGCGGAGCCGAGAATATCTTGCCTCTGTGGTTCTGGGATGGCGGCGGCGACTTGATGTACTGAGGCGAGTTGGTCAACCTTCTTAGTAGGAAGGTCTGGGGCGAACTTGGGGCCTTTGGAGAGCAATTCTATGGTGTCGGACGAGATAGCAGTGTTGCACAACAGAACAGGCGGTTCCAACTGCTTCTCGTTCAGCTTGCGGCAGGACGCAGTCACTCCAGCAATCACTTCTTTCCATGAAGCTTCAAGGAGGCGAGAAGCGGCGTCGACGATGAACAGGTACGAAGGATGCGAGCGGAAGCCAGGGCCAAACAAGTTCGTCATATGGCTGGGAAGGACCCTCTCCAGAAGGCGGAGCTCTAGGGATATTTCTTTCCTCGATATCTGCATGATGCGGTAGATGGAGCCCCAGGTGTTACAGTGGAATCCAAGGACGGAGGCCACTCCAGGATGAGGGAGGCTCTTGCGTAGGTGCAAACCGAGCGAGCGGAGCCTTAGACGGAGCAAATTCATTCTTGAGATGAAGCAAGCAGCCTCGAAGAAGGAAGCGGGGTTGAATATCGATGGCTCGCAGTTGGGACTGGGACGGTACATGGCTCAGAAAAGTAGGTATGCTTGGGAGAAGAGCGTGTTGGTTTTGGTCATGGATGAAGAAAGAATAAAACAATTAAAACAGGGACAACACAACCACATCTTTCAACTAGCAACAGACAACTAAACTTTCAAACAGCGAGCAGCCGACTATACCCAGTAGGAGTAGGGAAAGAAGGGGGAGAGAAGGAAAGGAAGAAAAGAAACACGAAGTGCAAGTCAGGGTGGTAGGTTTATCTCGGATTTTAAAAATTCAACCTCAGTTTTCGTCAACAGGAGGGAAGGGTTAGACACGTTGTTTTTTGCTGTGGTCATCGCGAATGATTCTATGATTTCCCTGCCGAATCTGCTGTCATGTCCCCCCGGGATTTTTGTGTCATCAAAAAGGGGATGACAACGCAAACACGAACGGGCATGTATGACTATGGGATGATAAGAATCTGTAGAGGCCTTAGAAACTTCATTGTGGTGTTCGCGGAGTCTGTGATTGGTGCATCTGCCGGTCTGTCCCATGTATTGATGGCCGCAGCTCAAGGGGATGGAGTAAACTTTCTTCTCTTTGCATGGAATGAATTTCTTTTCGTGTTTGACGGTGCAGCCAATCGGAATCCGGTTGTTGTTCACTTGTTGACATAGTTGTTTAAGACGCATGCGGCACGAGAAGACGACATTCGTGTCGAACTTTGAAGCAATGGATTTTATCCGGTGGGCTGAATTGTGTACGTAAGGAATGACGGCGAATCGGGCTTTCTTTTTTGTGGATGGTGAGTGGCGATCAGGCCCGCGAATCATCCTTTCCAATACAGATAGGAGAAGGTCGACGGGAAACCCTGCCCTGACGAGCCTCATGTGCTGCAACTTGAAGCTATCTTCTGAAAGATGCCAGCAAGACTTCGTGAAGGATGAAGAAAACAACGATTTGATGATACCGTGTTTTACCGACTTCGAATGGGCGCTAGAAAACGGTAAGACAGGTTTGGCAGACCTTTGTTTAAATGCCCAGCAGAGTCCAGTGGCACTGACATGAAGCCGCAAATCCAGGTACTGAAGACCTTCATTCGATGGTTCTTCTTTCGTGAATGTAAGGCCTGAAGAACAAGCGGAAAAAACCGCTGTAATGCTATCTGGAGAAGTTCGAGCAGGATGAATGATTAGGTAATCGTCTACATATCTGAAAACATGGCAGCCAGGGTTGGAGATGTCCAGTTGTGCTTTTATAGCTCTGTCAACGAATAAAAGGAACAATTCGCTGAGAACAGTGGCGAGACATGAACCGATGCAAACGCCCTTTTTTTGGCGGTAGATCCCTTTTTCATGTTCGACTAAGGTGGACTGGAGATATAGATGAATCAGGTCCACGAATCCAGAAACGGAGACACCGGAGGAATTCTGAAAATCCACAGCTCCGTGCTCAAACCCTACCACCCTGACTTGCACTTCGTGTTTCTTTTCTTTCCTTTCCTTTTCTCCCCCTTCTTTCCCTACTCCTTCTGGGTATAGTCGGCTGCTCGCTGTTTGAAAGTTTAGTCGTCTGTTGCTAGTTGAAAGATGTGGTTGTGTTGTCCCTGTTTTAATTGTTTTATTCTTTCTTCATCCATGACCAAAACCAACACGCTCTTCTCCCAAGCATACCTACTTTTCTGAGCCATGTACCGTCCCAGTCCCAACTGCGAGCCATCGATATTCAACCCCGCTTCCTTCTTCGAGGCTGCTTGCTTCATCTCAAGAATGAATTTGCTCCGTCTAAGGCTCCGCTCGCTCGGTTTGCACCTACGCAAGAGCCTCCCTCATCCTGGAGTGGCCTCCGTCCTTGGATTCCACTGTAACACCTGGGGCTCCATCTACCGCATCATGCAGATATCGAGGAAAGAAATATCCCTAGAGCTCCGCCTTCTGGAGAGGGTCCTTCCCAACCATATGACGAACTTGTTTGGCCCTGGCTTCCGCTCGCATCCTTCGTACCTGTTCATCGTCGACGCCGCTTCTCGCCTCCTTGAAGCTTCATGGAAAGAAGTGATTGCTGGAGTGACTGCGTCCTGCCGCAAGCTGAACGAGAAGCAGTTGGAACCGCCTGTCCTGTTGTGCAACACTGCTATCTCGTCCGACACCATAGAATTGCTCTCCAAAGGCCCCAAGTTCGCCCCAGACCTTCCTACTAAGAAGGTTGACCAACTCGCCTCAGTACATCAAGTCGCCGCCGCCATCCCAGAACCACAGAGGCAAGATTTTCTCGGCTCCGCCATCCGCGCCGTGTGCTTCCACCCACCCCCCAAGCCAGGCAAGATCCCTCTACTCGCCGCTGTTGAAGAGCTTCGTCAAGAACACCTAAAGCTGTTAGAATCCGATAAGACGGGTGTGTTTGTTGTGTTAGAGGAAGGAGATTTTGGAGATAAGGTGAACGCCGCCCTTTCAAAGAATTTTCTCAAACTGAAATCTCGTCCGTCTGGGACCCTCAGGTCAAGAGCCAAACAACTCTGCTCGTCTTTGAACCTGTCGTCCTTAAAAACCGCCATTAGTAGTCCAGCGAAGCAGTACCTTTCAGTTTTCTTCACTGCAAAAACACATAAGACTGGAGTTCCTCTCCGAAGTATAGTGTCAGAGAAGGGTTGTTGGCAGAAGCAGCTCGGGCTCTTTCTACAAAAGCATCTGTCTTGCATTCACCTCCCTCAACCCTTTAGAGTGTCTAACTCAATAGAATTCATCTCTGTCATCAGTTCCCAACATTCCTTCTCCTTGCCCCACTCTATTTTTTCACTTGACATAGAAGACATGTATTTCAATCTAGATCCTACCACTTTGCTTGCCTCAATCTCCGACGCCATCTTTGAGCACGGAGCTGTGGATTTTCAGAATTCCTCCGGTGTCTCCGTTTCTGGATTCGTGGACCTGACTCATCTATATCTCCAGTCCACCTTAGTCGAACATGAAAGAGGGATCTACCGCCAAAAAAAGGGCGTTTGCATCGGTTCATGTCTCGCCCCTGTTCTCAGCGAATTGTTCCTTTTATTCGTTGACAGAGCTATAAAAGCACAACTGGACATCTCCACCCCTGGCTGCCATGTTTTCAGATATGTAGACGATTACCTAATCATTCATCCTGCTCGAACTTCTCCAGATAGCATTACAGCGGTTTTTTCCGCTTGTTCTTCAGGCCTTACATTCACGAAAGAAGAACCATCGAATGAAGGTCTTAAGTACCTGGATTTGCGGCTTCATGTCAGTGCCACTGGACTCTGCTGGGCATTTCAACAAATGTCTGCCAAACCTGTCTTACCGTTTTCTAGCGCCCATTCGAAGTCGGTAAAACACGGTATCATCAAATCGTTGTTTTCTTCATCGTTCACGAAGTCTTGCTGTCATCTTTCAGAAGATAGCTTCAAGTTGCAGCACATGAGGCTCGTCAGGGCAGGGTTTCCCGTCGACCTTCTCCGATCTGTATTGGAAAGGATGATTCGCGGGCCTGATCGCCACTCACCATCCACAAAAAAGAAAGCCCGATTCGCCGTCATTCCTTACGTACACAATTCAGCCCACCGGATAAAATCCATTGCTTCAAAGTTCGACACGAATGTCGTCTTCTCGTGCCGCATGCGTCTTAAACAACTATGTCAACAAGTGAACAACAACCGGATTCCAATTGGCTGCACCGTCAAACACGAAAAGAAATTCATTCCATGCAAAGAGAAGAAAGTTTACTCCATCCCCTTGAGCTGCGGCCATCAATACATAGGACAGACCGGCAGATGCACCAATCACAGACTCCGCGAACACCACAATGAAGTTTCTAAGGCCTCTCCAGATTCTTATCATCCCATAGTCATACATGCCCGTTCGTGTTTGCGTTGTCATCCCATTTTTGATGACACAAAAATCCTGGAGGGACATGACAGCAGATTCGGCAGGGAAATCATAGAATCATTCGCGATGACCACAGCAAAAAACAACGTGTCTAACCCTTCCCTCCTGTTGACGAAAACTGAGGTTGAATTTTTAAAATCCGAGATAACCCTACTACCCTGACTTGCACTTCGTGTTTCTTTTCTTTCCTTTCCTTCTCTCCCCCTTCTTTCCCTACTCCTACTGGGTATAGTCGGCTGCTCGCTGTTTGAAAGTTTAGTCTGTTGCTAGTTGAAAGATGTGGTTGTGTTGTCCCTGTTTTAATTGTTTTATTCTTTCTTCATCCACGGCAATTCTGCACTGTCCTCTTGGCGCGAGCGCGATCGCATAGAACGCATATTTGAAAGACACGCACTTAAGCAGAAACGATTGTAGCGAAAAGAAGAAAACTGCAACAACGCTTCGGAGAGGACCGGTGGACGGGCTTCGCTAGAATCACCGGGACGCCTTTTTCGGAGGTCGATACGGGGCAGAGCAACAAGGCAGAGTACTAGTTTGACGTCCGTGACGTCATGTCCGGTTTTCGTGACATCTGCCTTTACCCTTTACTTCGCGCACTCCTCCGGAGTGTCAAGGAGTATGCCCCCAGCTCGTTCCTCTGAAGTCAACCCACTGATCTGTGAGTCAACCCAAATGTGATAGTTGGACAAAAAGGCCCGTGTCAGTCGTTTGCAAAGCCAGCAAAGCGACGTAGATGGAAAAGAATCTCCGCGGCGCTTTTCGCGGCCTCGGAGATGCAGTAGCGAGCCGACGTTACAAAACTGAGTTTCAACTACGAGTGTCAGCAACATCCACGTAAATACCTATGCACACTCGGACCGGACGCGCGTGTTTGATCGAAGTGCTTCGGGGCCGATCTTTTACGATTACCACTCGATATACTGATATGACACTCGTCAAAGAAAGGTGGGACCGGCATTGCGTAGCTCCCACGAACTGTTATAGTTCGACAGTCACGTCCCGTCGTGTCAGAATAAAAATGGCATACTAATAACAAAGTGTACATACCGTGATGCGAAGGTAATCGATACGACGTTTATTTGAGCTCCATATCACACAAAACAATGAGATGCAATCGATGAGAGTCCCTTTTCGACGACAGCGTT